GGAGCGCGCCCGGGACAGCTCGGCAGGGCCCAGCTGCGCCCAGCGACCCTCCAGACGGGCCCAGAGGAACCCCCGGGCCCCCCGGGCAATTTTTCCAGTACCAAACAGGGGGCAGTTTGGTACCCCAAAAACTGCCCGGGAGGCCCCGGCACGGCCCGGCCGCGACAAAAGCGCCTCCGCGTCGAGGCGCCCCCAGAGCTCCAGGCCCGCAGGGGGGGGCCATCCAAGCAAAGGGGGGCAGGCACACGTCTCCTGAGAGGGGACCCCTGGGGCCTAGGACCCAGGCCCCACCCAGGGCGCCTCCAGGGCCCCAGGCCCCAGGAGGCCGCCAGCGCAAGAGAGGTGGGCCAATCCGTAACCTGAGGTGACCCTGGAGGCGAGGAAGGCTCTCCGAGGCCTCGGCCCAGCCCAGCCCTGCCCTTCCCAGTACAGATCCGCAGGGACCTGGTGGGAGGGAGGGAGGATGGGGGAGGGAGGGAGAGATAGGAGGGGAAGGGGCGACCATGTTTTGCGTCGGCGGCGCACGACGAAGCGAGGGCCGCAAATGGATCCCATGCTGACGGCGCGCTGGGCGACCTAAGGAGGGGAAGAACGGCCGCCAAGAAACCCAGAGCATACGTGGGACTAGCGAGCAGAGCGCCCAGAGGTACCCAGCTTATGTGGGTCTTCGGCGGTCCTTTTAACCAAGACCGCCGGTTCAGCCGCACATGCGCTGGGCGCACGGGTAAAGGGTTGAATTAAACATCGTATGAACCGCACCCCAAACGGGTCAAAGTTAGAGCTCAAGCTTCGTAGATGCATCGTCGACTGGCTGGCTTCCCCAGCCTGCCTTCCAGGGGAGACAGAAGATAGCGGATAGCGGGGCGAGGGAAGGAGAGCAGAGCGGGAAAGGAACGACGAGGGCTGCGAGCCGCTTCCCCCGATGCTGTGTGCGGGCGCGGTGGCGCTGAAGCCGCGTCGGGCTGCCGTGGCTCACTCCCATGTCTCAGGGCGCGCCCCAGCCAGGCGGTGGCAGAGCTCCTGCCACTCTCCTCCGCTCACGGGGGCGACCACGCGGCCGGGGGCAAGGCCGGCAGAGCCGGGTGCGTCACCGGCACCGTCGGTGCTTCGCCCGCGTTCCATGGGGTCGTCCAAGCCTCCACTTTCCTCAAGATCTTTTCTAATTGGTCCCTTGACGCCGAGATATGGACACGGCCCTGCTTGCGGAGCCAGACGTGTACGGATCCTTTTTTGTTCCCCAGTTTGATCAGGATGCCGGAAGGGACCGCGCAGTCCTTCGGGACGTAGCTCCAGCGGGCGGCTCCCGAGAGGAGGGGGGTCGCGGTCGCGTTCTCCTTGTGGGTGGCCGCCCAGAAGAGGACCTCCCGGTCCGAAGGCAAACCCCCGGTGGGGAGGAGCCTCACCCACTTGCGGTCCCGGTACCTGGCGGCGTCGTCCTGGCCGCCTGGCCCGCCCTGCCCGCCTGGCTGGCCCAGCACCGCCTGGCTCCGGCGCGAGTGCTCCGGGAAGAGCGGGTCCACCACCTTCGGCAGGGCCCCCGCCGCGCCTGGCCCGGGGCGCTGGAGCTGGGCGCGCGGGCTCCCGGCTGCGCCCGCCGCCACTTCTGCAGCAGCGGTTTCCGAGGGGTGGCGCGCGACCCAGCAGCTGCCGCAAAGGAGCTGGAAGCCGGTGTCCGTCACGTCTGTGAGGAGCGTCGGCCCTGAGACCCCGCAGCTCGCGCAGCAGAGGCTGTGCTTGGCTCCGCCTGGGGGGCTGCTCATAGGAAGGGCCCCGCAGCCTCCGCTTTCCGACTGGGCTGGGCCCCCTGCTGCTGCCGCCGCGGCGGCCGAGCCGGCGTGCGAGGTCCCCGCGCCGGGCGCCGGAGGGGCCTCCGTCGCCGCCATCTGGGCCGCGGCCCAGTGTCCCCAGCAGCTCTGGCAGTACCCCTCCGAGAGCTGAACTCCCTCCGCCCAGCAGTCCCGGCAGTGCGTTGGCGGGGCGGGCGGGGCAGATCGGCCGGATGGCGATGGGGGGATCAGGACATGGGGGGATGAGTATCCGGTACCGTCTTGTTGGGGTACAAGTTGTACCTTCTCTGCGGGTTGCAAGTATAAATTGTACCTTCTCCCCCCCCGTTAACATCCTCGCACATGTCGCGGACGTGGTCAAATGTACAATGTGTACCTTGTCTGCGTGGCGTCGGTACAAATTGTACCTTCTCCGTGGGGCGTAGGTACAATTTGTACCTCGGTTGCGCCTCTCTCCCCATCTGGACTTATCCCCCCGTATGCATCCCGCCAAGCAGAGTCTCCCCAGGCACCGCGACTGCTTGGAGTGGGCAGGGCGCCGAGCGTCGCTGGGCCGGTCGGTGCTGAGGGGGTGCTGGGCGCGGGCGAGAGCCCGCTGCTCTCGTGGCCTGCGGGGTGCTGGGCCTCGTGCTGCATGGGAGCAGCGGCCTGTCCTGGCTCCATCCCGGGCTGCTGGGCCTCCTGCTTCTGGTCGTTTTCGATGGCATGCGCTG